CATTATTGATTGGGAATCTGATATCATTTATTTACTGCTGACTTGTTTTCTTGAGGGTAGCTGTGTTAGCGAAGCTCTGTCTTTGAGGTTCATCTCACAGAACTGGCATCAGTAAGAGGAGGCCAGCCCCAACACTCCCTCTTCCAAGTCTTGAATCCTGTGAGGAGTTGACAGATAAACTACAGGGCACCCAGATAAGTTTGTATTCCAGAAAAAAATATTGTGTGGGATATACTAACACATACTAATTCTTTGTCATTGTTTTACTGAATTCAAATTTGACCTCCAGTGTTTTTATTTGATAAATTGCAGAATCCTAGCTCCAGGCTACAAGCACTCCCTCTCTAACCAGGGCCTACTGCATGAAAAGCAATCATAAAGCAGTTGTCAGGATTCAATGAGGTCACACTCTCAGGAATTAAAAAATGTTGGTCAATAGTAAGGCTGCAGTTGTACTAAATCTTGATACAATCTATCAAAACCTCCAGGATACAACAAAGGCAGTGCTAAGAGAAAAGTTTAGCGTTAAATACACACATCAAAAAGCCTGAAAGAGCACAAACAGAAAATCTGAGGTCACACCTCATGAAACTGGAGGATCGAAAACAATGCAAACCCAAACTTGGCAGAAGAAAAGGAATAACTAAGATTAGACCACAACTAAATAAAATTACAACAAAAACAATACAAAAGATAATATGCACATAAACTAAAAAACCTAGAGAAGATGAATACATATCTAACTATACACAACCCTCCTAGATTAAATCAGGAAGATGTAGAAACTCTGAACAGACCAATAACAAGCAGTGAGATAGAAACAATAATATTAAAATGTCAACCCCCGAAAAAGTCCAGGACCAGACAGATTCACATTTGAATTCTATCAGACGTTGAAAGAAGAATTGGTACAAAGTTTATGACAGTAACTGTGATGGTTAATAGTGAGTGACAACTTTATTGGATTGAAGGTACAAAGTATTGATCCTGGGTGTGTCTGTGGGGGTTTTGCTAAAGAGATTAACATTTGAGTTAAGGAGCTGGGAAAGACGAACCCGCTGTTAATCTGGGTGTGTAGAAGCGAATCCGCTGCCAGCATGGCTAGAATATAAGCAGACAGAAAGATGTGCAAAAGAGACTGGCTTAGTGGCTTAGTCTCCCAGCCTACATCATTCTCCTGTGCTGGATGCTTCCTGCCCTTGAACGTCGGACTCCAAACTCTTCAGTTTTGGAACTTGGACTGGCTCTCCTTGCTCCGCAGCCTGCACACAGCCTATTGTGGGACTTGTGATCCTGTGAGCTAATAATTAATAAACTCCATTAGTTCTGTCCCCCTGGAAGATACTGACTAATACACTAATCTGCAGGATGGAGAAATAGGGACTCCTTCCTAAATAATTCTATGAATCCAGTGTCACCCTGAATCCAAAATGAGGGAAGGACGTAATGAAACAAGAAATCTACAGACCAATATCCCTGATGAACATAGATGCAAAAATCTTAAACAAAATACTTGCTAACCGAATCCAACAGCTATCAAATCGCAGTCCACCATGATGAAGTGGGTTTCTTACCAAGGATGCTTGGAAGGTTTAACATACAAAGTCAATAAATGTAATATATCACATAAACATAATTAAAAACAAAAATCACATGATTATTTCAATAGATGCAGAAAAAGTATTTGACAAAATCCAGCATTGCCTCATGATTAAAACCCTCTGCAAAATTGGCATAGAGGAGACATAGCTTATGGTAATGAAAGCCCTCTACTGCAAGCCCACAGCCAACATTATACTGAACAGAAAGAATTTAAAAGCATTTCTTCTGAGAACTGGAACAAGACAAGAATGACCACTTTCACCACTTCTGTTCAACATAGTACTGGAAGTCTTAGCCAGAGCAATTAAACAAGAGAAAGAAATTAAGGGCATCCAAATTGGTAAAGAGGAAGTCAAACTGTCACTGTTTGCTTATAATATGATTGTATACCTAGAAAACCTTAAAGACTCATCCAAAAATCTCTGAGAACTGGTGAGTGAATTCAGCAAAATTTCAGGATACAAAATTAAGACACACAAATAAGTAGCTCTGCTACACAACAGCAACCAAGCTGAGAATCAAATCAAGAACTCAACGCCTTTTCCAAATAGCTGCAAAAATAAAAAATACTTAGGACTATTCCCCACCAAGGAGATGAAAGACCTCTACAAAGAAAACTACAAAACACTGCTGAAAGAAATCATAGATGACACAAGCAAATAAAAACACATCCCATGCTCATGAATGGGTAGAATCAATATTGTGGAATGATCATACTACCTAAAGCAGTCTAGAAATTCAATGTAATTCCCATCAAAATAACAACATCATTTATCACAGAACTAGAAAAAACAATCCTAAAATTCACATGGAACCCCAAAAAAGCCCGCATAGCCAAAGCAAGACTAATAAAAAACAAACAAACAAACAAACAACAACAACAAAATCAAATCCAGAGGCATCAGACTATACTCTGAGATACCCTGTTCAACAAATGGTTCTGGGATGATTGGCAAGCCAAATGTAGAAGATAAAACTGGATCCTCGTCACTCAGCTTATACAAAAATCAACACAAGATGAATCAAAGACTTAAATCTAAGGCCTGAGACCAAAAAATTCTGGAAGATAACATTGGAAAAACTTTTCTAGATATTGGTTGAGGCAGACTTCATGACCAAGGTCCCAAAAGCAAATGCAACAAGAACAAAAATAAATAGATGGGACTTAACTAAACTAAAAAGCGTTTACACAGCAAAGGAACCAATTTGCAGAGTTAACAGACAACCCAGAGTGGAAGAAAATCTTCACAATCTATATATCCAACAAATGACTAAAGTCTAGAATCTACAAAAAGTTCAAACAAATTATCAAGGAAAAACTAAACGATCTCATTCAAAAGTAGGCTAAGGATGTAAATAAAAATTCTTAAAAGAAGATATACGGGCCGGGCACAGTGGCTCAAGCCTGTAATCCCAGCACTTTGGGAGGCCGAGGTGGGTGGATCACGAGGTCAGGAGATCGAGACCATCCTGGCTAACACGGTGAAACCCCATCTCTACTAAAAATACAAAAAAATTAGCCGGGGTGGTGGCAGGCGCCTGTAGTCCCAGCTACTCCGGAGGCTGAGGCAGGAGATTGGCGGGAACCCGGGAGGCGGAGCTTGCAGTGAGCTGAGATCTGGCCACTGCACTCCAGCCTGGGCGACAGAGTGAGACTCCGCCTCAAAAAAAAAAAAAAGAAGATATACGAATGGCCAACAGACATAAAGAAAAATGCTCAGCATCATCTAGTGATCAGGGAAATGCCAATCAAAACCACAAGACAATACCACCTTAATACTGCAAGTATGGCCAATATTAGATGTTGGCATGGATGTGGTGAAAAAAAAAAACACTTTTACACTGTTGGTGGAAATGTAAACTGGTACAACCACTATGGAAAACAAAGTGAAGATTCCTTAAGGAACTAAAAATGCATGTACCCTTTCATCCAGTAATTTCATAACTAGGTATGTATCCAGAGAAAAAGAAGTCATTATACAGAAAAGATACTTGCAGAAACATGTTTAACAGCAGCACAATTTGCAATTGCAGGAACATGGAACCAGCCCAAATGCCCATAAATCAACAGATGGATAAAGGAAATGTTATACATAGGCATATCATGGGACACTACGCAGCCATAAAAAGGAACAAAATAATAGCATTCACAGCAAAAACTGTTATTCTAAGTGCAGTAATGCAGGAATTGAAAACAAAACATTATATGTTCTCACTCATAAGTGGAAGATAAGCTATGAGAACACAAAGGCATAACAATGATACAATGGACTTTGGGGACTCAGAGGAAATGGTAGTGGGGGATGAGGGATAAAAGACTACTCCCCGGGTACACTGTACATTGCTTGGGTGATGAGTGCACCAAAATCTCAGAAATTATGATTAAAGAACTTATTTATGTAATCAAACACCACCGGTTCCCTAAAAACCTATTAAAATAACAAATTAATATTTAAAAAGAAAAAAGCACTAACATCCTTAAAAACCCAAATAAATAAGTACATAAGTAAATAAATCAAATATGAGAACCTCTTCCAGTACAGAGAGAACCAGAAGCAAGAGATAAGGAAGGAAGAATCCCCACAAGCCCTCACAGACTCTCCTGTCACCTTAGATGAACATCACTCCAAGAGTTTCATTTTGATGGACAATCAATTCAAACTTTAAAATAAATAAACAAAATCAGGAATAATCAACCTAACGGCCCTCAAAGGTAGTCATGAGCCCTCTATGGGATGGGTGCAATTCAGCAAGCACAGGAAGAGTCTCAAAAGAAATTTGCAGAGTAAAAGAAGCCAGAACAAATGGAAAGATAATGTTTGTTAACACTGTTACATTCCAGAAAATGGAAACCAAACAATAGTGACAGAGGCAGATCTGTGGCTGCACAGGAGAGCACTGAGGAAGGGAGGGAGGGAGATGACAAAGGGTCATGAGGGGTTGCTGGGGCTGGTCACAGATTGCATAGCTCCCTGTTCATGGTGATGTATTCAAGGATCAAAAAAATGTCAAAATGTGTATACTTTCCTATTATAAATCTGGGTGTTTCACTAGATGTGCATTATTCCCACATGAAAGGAGTTTTATTAAAACAGAATGGACTGGGGAGAAAAGAAGCACAGGGATTCACACTGGGGAGCAGGGGGAGGAAGACACCACTCCGGAAACTCCTGGAAATGGGAAAAGGAGGATGATGGAGACACAGGTTTCCCATCACAGGTGGGTCTGTGATGACACAGATGGACCTGCCACCTCAGCCCAGGACTTCAGTGCAGAGACCCTGAGTCCTAAGCTGCAGGGAGCAGAATGTTCCTTTTCCTGGACACTCTGTTGCTGAGTCTGAGGACTAAAGCGGAGGAGGAGCCTCCACTCTCAGGCAGGGCCCTGCATGCCCCTGGACCCATGGGGGAAGCTACAGCAGCAGAAGCCACAGGTCAGCCCTGAGCAGCAGCTGCCAGAGCTCACCCTTCAGGCAGAGGAGGAAGGGGGTTATTGTCTCACTTCCTACTGCGCCTGGAGCACTGTGGGACCGTTCAGGCTGTCATCCCATGCTGCGCAGTAATAATCAGCCTCATCCTCGGACCGGAGCCCACTGATGGTCAGGGAGGCTGACGTGCCTGACTTGGAGCCAGAGAATCGGTCAGGGACCCCTGAGGGTCGCTGACTATTTTTATAGATGAGGAGTTTGGGGGCCTTTCCTGAGAGCTGCTGGTACCAGGATACATAATTACTTCCAATGTTGGAGCTGCTTCCAGAACAAGAGATGGTGACACTCTGCCCGGGGGCCCCAGACGCTGAGGGTGGTTGAGTCAGCACAGACTGGGCCCAGGATCCTGGAAGCAAGAGAGAGACAGACACGGTGATTGACAAGAGACAAAAGGAGACAAGAGGAGAAAGCAGGGCCCCATGGGCTTCCCAGGGACCCACTCTTGGTCCCATATCCTGTCACCTGCACAGTGAGTGAGGAGGGTGAGGACGAGAGGGAAGCAGGTCATGCTGGAGATTGTCCTGAGTCCTGTCTTCTCTAGCCACAGCTGAAGCTGAGCTTCCCCCAAATCTCTCCCTGTCTTCATTCTCTGAAAGGGGGAGAGTCCATCCATGCAAATCAGACCTCCCAGGTTTTTGACTCCGCCCTGAGCCCTGGGTCAGGCTTCTGGGCTTGAGGATGTCAGGAAGTGGCAGGGGTGGCACTTTGTGGTCCCAGGGGGTGGGGAGAACACAGTTGTGAGCCCTGAGCAGAGGACAACAGGCAGAGCAGTTGTTTGGTTCCGCTCCGTTCACCCAGTCTTTTTTCAGAAATGGTCCCCAAGTGCCCCTAGTGTTCAGACTAAGGCAAACCATTCTATGATCAGGTTACCAGAGCCTCTGAGATACACCGCTGACTCCCCCCATTCTGTCCACTGCCCCCTCTCCCAAGTCCAGGCCCGGGAAGGTGGCACCTGTGTCACCCTCCTTTGATCTCAGGGCAGTCTTCATGCTCTACCGGACTTCTCAGGAGTGGATCTGTCCATGGTTCTTTGGTTGTACATTGCAGAGGACTCAGGTGATGGCTACACAAAGTCCTTTTCTTTCAGAATCAAGTCCACAGCGGGGACCGGCCCCATGGAGTCACTTCCCCACCTGTGTTGGACAACGGGTCCTCTCCTCTCATGTTGCTCCATCCTGGTGGCCAGAGCTCTCCTTCCTCTGTGGATCCTGCAGCGCTGAGGAGAAAGGGAGCTCTTTCCTTTGGATGCCCTGGGGAGGGATTCTCAAAGGGATTTTCTGCTAAATCTTTGTTCTCCCTCTGCTTCCCCAGATTTGCAGTCACAGTCATCTGGATACTGTGACCAGGGATCTTGCGTAGGAGTCTGTCCTCCAAGCACTGAATGCCAGTCCTTGGCAGATGTCTTTGGAGGTTCTCACTTATGAGCAAAAAGAGCAAAGATGTTCAGTCTTTGAAGATGGGAAGAATTAAAATTTTAACTTGGTTTGACGACCAAAGTCTGTCCTCAGGTGAGCCTGACATGTGATAGCTCTTGTCATGGAGCCCCCAACTAGGATTTCTAGGGGAAAACTTACGGTTCAAATTCAGTAGTGAGTGTGGTGGGGGTGGCTTAAAGATGATAGAAATTATTCATCTTTGATTTGTAATGGCATCTAGAATCTAATAAACTAAAAACAATAAGGTTAAGAAAAAACGTAATTCTGCTGTTTGAAATGAAAAATGAAATAGATTACGTCTATGACCGCGTGAGTTCTGGCATGATACACCCCAGACTCTTAACAAGTATTTGTTTGGGGAATTTTATGGGGATGGAGGAAAACAGCTGGATGGTGATGTTGATATTTATACCGATGAATGTATCATCTGGCAGTTGTAGTACAATGAGATTTTTTTTTTTTTTTTTTTTTTTTTTGAGACAGAGTCTTGGTCTGTTGCCCAGGCTGGAGTGCAGTGGTGCAATCTTGTCTCAATGCAACTGCCGCTTCCCAGGTTCAAGCAATTCTCCTGCCTCAGCCTCCCAAGTAGCTGGAATTACTGGTGCATGCCACCATGCCCGGCTAATTTTTGTGCTTTTTTAGTAGAGACGGGGTTTCACCATGTTGGCCTGGCTGGTCTCGAATTCCTGACCTTGTGATTGTCCCCCTTGGCCTCCCAAAATGCTGGGATTACAGGCGTGAGCCACCACGCCTGGCCACAATGAGATTTTAAATGCTCCATTGAAACAGCCAAATAGTGAGATTTATTATAGACATTTGAATAAAACCAATCCATGTATGTAACTGAAGTAAAATGTATGCTATATTTTGGGATCGCATTTCAAGGCTGTCATTATTTTAAATGTTCCTTTTTGTGATAGCCATGTTCCTTTATATAGTTTTTATACTATTTAAAATATGTTTATTGTACTTACATAACACATCAGGCATATTAAGTTTTATTTATTTCCAAGTAGAAATGAGCTATTAGATCTGGACTTCACTTGCTGTTTCCTTCTCATTGCTTTTTGTTTGGTGATGCATAGATGTTCACAGAGAATTTTGTTTTCCTTTCCTCCCAGTTTAACGAACAGTGGGTCACCGAGGCTGAGCAGTGCCTCACATACAGGACAAGGCTGCCCATGGCCCCCTCCCTGCTCATGGATATGCTTCCTGGTGGATGCCCCATCAGCTCTTAAGCTGAGGACAGAGCGAAGAACAGGTCCACAGCTAAGGAACCTGGACACCCAGAGGCTCCGGGAGGAAGGTACAACAGCTGGACAGTGAACCCAGGACAGAGGACACTGACTATGGACTTTTTATGTGATCCTCCACAGGGACCCTCACAGACAGACCAAAACACCAGTCCCTGTGTGTCTTCAGGGTGCAGGTCCTTCCAGGTCCTCCTTTTGTCACTGCTCTAGGCCCCAGGCCTCCGCCTCCTATGAGTCACAATGGACAGTCTGCTCTTCAGGCTGCACCCTCTTTATCCCATCTGACCCCACACCCATCTTCCCCTTCCCCATAAACCATCCCCTGTTCACTTCCATTAGCATTTTTGCATCACTCTGGATCACAGCCTCCCCAGGGATGTCTCTGCAGGATATCCATGCTGCAGAGAGCTCAGCCCTTTGACAGGACAGCTGGGCCTGGGCCACCTAAGGCTGAGCATCTCTCTTGCTTCTCTACTACACCAGCTCTAGGTCATGCCACCTCTCAGAATGCTGAGCCCATGTTTTCTTAAGAATCAGACTTCCTCTCTCACATTTGGGTATCTGGGTCACACAGGCTGCATTCTCCTTTCTTGTCATCTTTCCCACAGTTTCAGAGCTCAGGAAATGGCCAGCATACTTGCACCAAAAGGGGCAGTACCTTTGGTACCAGGCCGAAGGCTCCTGGACTGCTGGGTTACACAGGTTGGATTCTTTCTTGTCATCCCCACCTCATCCACACCCACCATGTGTGGGCAGCTCCTTTTGCTTCTAGAAACAAGTTGCTTCTCTTTACATTGGGAGATCAGTAAAAAAAAGGTGTTACTGTCACTGAACTCTTGCTCTGCTTTCAGTAACATAAGTGACAGCAGAAGCCTTGGCAGGAACTGGTGTTGGTCACAGGCAGGGATAAAGGAGGGATGGGACAGAGAGGATGAGTGGGGCAGATCTTCTCTCATTTCCCCATGGAACAAGAACCCTTGGTAATATGGAGCCAGGATGCAGCTGTGTGACAGTGACAAACAGCCTGTCCTCAGGCGGGAGCCCAGGGGTTGTCCAGGAGGCTGTGTGAATAAACCCAGAGCAGGAGGATCAGGCTGGGACCCCTGAGGGACCATCACTGCTGTCCTAGGTCACAAATGTAGGTGCTCTTTCTGGGAGGGAATACCCAGTGTTTCTGCTGCTCCCCGTGCAGTAAAAGTTGACATTGAGATGGGGGCCTCCTCAAGAGTTTCCTGGGGAGGAGTCACTTGAAGCAAATATTGGGCAGTTTCTGTACCAGGATATTCCACAGACTCACCACTAGACCCTGACTCAGTGAGAGCCTCCAATGGTGTAAGAGAGGAGAAGAGAACACACTCAGGCCCTGAGGGATCAGGAAACCCACACTCAGCAGTCACCGTGGTCCTGAGTGGGATGAGCTGCAGGAAAGTCACATCCCTGGGAACTACCTACCCCGTGGCCAAGGAGCAGCCTCAGCCTCGTCTCAGCCATGGTGGAGCCTCCCCTTGACTCTCTCATGTCCTACCTAGAGGTTCACTGGCCTCAGGCCCCCAGTTACCCTCAGACCTAACCCCATCTCCTGACATTTCCACTGAAATGCAGGTGCCCAGGACTGAGCCAGGTCAGCTCTGTATCTGGAATTCCTCCCTGACCTGTGTCCTCAGGCAGCATTTCATATTTGAGCGCCTTGTTCCTGGGACACAGTGAGCCTCAGACAGCCCTGAGAACAGACTACTGGGGATGGAAGGGAGGTCTCTGCCTGTACAATGGAAGAGCAGAGTCCATGCTGCAGGGGACTGTTCACCTGCTACCATGTCCCCAGGCTCTGACCATGCTGTGAACTAGGAAAGGCTCATTTTGCTTCTTTCAAAACAAAAGTCCAGCTCCACAGGTACTGGTGTCAGCACACATGGACACGCAGCCAACGCTTCAGGGTCATCAGCTGCTTTGGTTTTGTTTTGTTTTACTGAGACTTCAGAAGGATGGATGGGAAATTGACAGAAGCACCTTTGAAACTAGAAAGTACTTCCAAATGTAGTTTGTGCCTAGGTTGGTTATTTTAAAAATTTAAAACTATCACGGAACAAGACCCAGATCAGGGTGAGGTTTTTGTCCCACTTCCCCATCTGTGTGTGTCACTGTGAGAAGCATTGTTGTGCCAAGTCGTACAGTAATAGTCAGCCTCATCCTCAGACTGGAACCCAGAGATGAGTAAAATCCCTGCATTGGCCGAAGCATCTTTGGATCCAGAGAAGCGGCTGGGGACTCCAGAGCCCTGGCCCTTATTTGAGTCTGAGTAGTAGTACAGTAGATACCGGGGAGGACTCCCTGGCTTCTGCTGGTACCAGTGTATATTGTAGCCACCAACACTGATGCCACTGCGCAAGGTGCAGGTGAGTCTGACTGATGCTCCAGGAGATGCTGAGAGGGAGGTTGGCTGAGTCAGCACAGGCTGTGACAGGGAACCTGGAAACACAGGCATTTATAGGTTTTAAGGCAGAAACCAGAGTAACATTTTTTAGGGATCTTTGACAGAAGAGTCACAATCAGGCTGGGTGGCAGACCCTGGTCTCTGAGGCCTGTTCCTACCTGTACAGTGAGAGAGGAGCAGGAGGAGGAGAGGAGTCCAGGCCATGGTGGACACAGCCTCTTTCCCCGCAGTGGGGCTGGGCTGCCCCAGGCCTCCTTTTCTTCCCACCCTCTGCAGAGGAGGGGCTGCTCATGCAAATATGTTTCTACCCAGGGACTGCCCAGCCCCTCCCTGAGCCCTGGGGATGCAGCTCAGCTGGCTCTGCAGACTGAGCAGGAGGAAGGTTTGCTTTTCTTCTTGCAAGGCCCTGGGAAAAGCACCTGTTGAGACCATACACAGCTCCCTGCTCAGGGATCTCTGCCAGGCCAGAGGGGACACAACTACCAAGTCCCCATCAGTGAGCACAGGGCCCAGCCCCCAGGCCTGGATTTCTTTGAGTGAATAGTCAGCATCCGATGCTGGTCCCGGAACACACACTTTCCCATGGCTCAGAGACTTCAGAACCCATCTGGTCTCTGCAGCTCTCTAGCCACTGTCTGTATTCAGATCTCCATGGTCTGATTCCTAGACACTGCTTCTCTCTTGCTGTGCATTATTACTGCGACTTCTCACTCCCAGAAGTAGTCTTGGTCTGTGGGATGTGCACGCATGTACATATATAACTTTTGCAGGTGTCAACACCCCTGCATGGCATTCTAGAAAAATCTAATCACCTACATGTGCGATCACGGAAAAGGGGTCAGCTGAGGAGCTGGGTTGAAGAAAAGCTAGGGGCTCTTTAAAAGGATGGTGAAAATGAGGATTTTCCAGGAAAAATAAATGATCCATCAGATTTCAAAGGCAGCAATTCAGCAAAAGTTATACATACAATCATTTTGTATGTTTTATAGAGATTTGACTTAATTTAGTAATGTAGGAAAATTAATAGATTTGGTAGACTTACCTTTACCAGTGAGCAGTGTGACGTATTTCTCTGTTTTATGAAGTTAGCCATTATCTCCCTAAGTAAAACTTGTCATTGTCTACACAGTTGTGTCATATTTTTTGGTCAAGAATTTGTCCTAGATGTTATACAATTTGTTTGTATTGTGATATTGAAACATGTATTTTTGGACTGGATGTTTTCAGTTTATTATTAAGATCAGTATGTATTTTTCCCTCAAAGTTGTCTTGCAAGTGAGAGGACAAGGGCAGAGACCATCACTTCTCAATGTAGCCACGTCTACTGTTCTGCTAACTGTGCAAATGGTCCCTGGATTTCCAGACTCACAAGGTGCTTTAGTGAATAATGTAGAATCAGTATCACTCACTTTTCTCAGGTGCTCCTCCTCAAGTCATTTGGAGAGATCCCTGTCATTCAGATGAGGCAGGGAGGTCACGCCCTGGCTTAAACCCCTTCAGTAACTCCTCATTTTTATAAAACCTGAGCCCTGAGGCCTCCACAGCCTGCTCTTCACACTGTGGCCCCTGCAGACCCCCACAGCCCAAGTCACAGCCCCTCCCCTTACTTTTAGGGCTCCGGACTCACTCGCCTCTCTGTCCTGGGAAACCCTGAGCTCCTGTCTTTTCCACATTCTCCACACCAGCTTCTCCTCTGCCTGTTGGGAGAAGATGGGCTTCTACTTGAAGCCACAGTGTAAGCTTACATTTTGTGCACATTGTACACCTGTTAAAAGAAGAACATAAACATCTCATCGCAAACAAGGATATTTTCAACACTGGTTAGCATGGGAACTTTTGATTCCTACAAATATACAGATAGTTTTCTAGTGAATTGTTTGTACCCCCCCAGCCAGCTTTGACCATCATCAATGTGGTTCATGCTGTTTAACTTTTCAACAGCTGTTACCCATCAAATTTCTCCCTCACTAGATGATTTTTACAACAGATCAATGAAGAGGTATCATATCATTGGTATGTAAATTAACAAATATATACATTTGCAGTGTTCCGTAATTCTTGTGCATTAAATCAACAGATTTCAAGGACTTTCAATTCTGAAGAGTGGATTGACTTGTTCAGAATTTCATGGTGTTATTCGACTATGTGTGTTATACATAATCTGTATAAACAGAATGCGGTCATTCTTCTTGGCCTCATTAATGGCTGAGATCTTACTGTAGGTCAGAGGGAAAACAGAATATTCCATCCTCCAGAGGAATTCCCCAGGGTAACTAGACAACTGAGTGTGAGGAGATAGCTTTGTCATCACATAACCTCCCCACTGCTCCCTTTGGGATGGAGAAAGAGCAGCAGAGACACCACAGCCCTGGAAGCCTGCCCCGGGAAGGTGGCAGGGAGGAAGGAAGGTAAAGACAAGGGTGAATAAGGATGCCTGAGTTGGGGGCTGGACCTCCTTTCCTTGCCCAGACACAGAATCCTGCCTTTCCACTGCTCTCTAGTTTTTTAATTGACCTTTACCCCCACCTATCACTGAGGAGGCCACAAGCACCCTGCCCCATAATGACAGCTTGGGAGCCTTTTGCCTGTGCTGGGCCTCAGTCCTCAGTCTCCTGCACCTGCACAGACTGCAAATCGGTGTGCTCCCAAATCAGCTACTTCAGCACTGACACCTCTGCTCTCATGGTTTCTGACAGAGCTCTGGCAGGTTTCCTCGTGAGCTTTAACAGCAGCCCTTTGAGTATGAAGGGCATCATCCCATGTGCACTACAATGCTCTGTCCTGACCCTTGGGGCTTTTGCTCCATAGAAAGTAACTAGAGAGGTGGTTTGATTGCATGCAAAGTAGCCGCTGAGCTAAATGCAGCACACCAGCATGGCACATGTATATGTATGTAACCAACCTCCACGCTGTGCACATGTACCCTAGCACTGAAAGCATAATAAAAAAAAAGAATTAAGAATAATATAAATAAAAACAGCAAATATATATATATGCTTCATATATATAAGTATATATATATACTTATGTATATATAAGTTTATACATATATATATATATGAAGAAATTAACCAGGTCTCTTTTCAGGTGTGAAAAGTGATGGTTCACGTTAATCTTATTGAATAGCAGGGAAGGGCAGCAATGAGTGCTGAGTCCTATGAGCTTTCCAGAGAGAAGAGGAGCGTGACACACTCGATCACAGCTGCAGGCAGTTGTCAGGTTTCCATCACAAGGACACACTCAGGGCCTCAACCATTCGCCTCTTTCCTCTAGTCCTTCTCACCACGGTGTGGGTCACACACATTCGTCCCTGCTCAGCTGCCACATTACTTGCTAGAGACCTCATCTCTCATGTGTACAAAGCCACCATGTCCTAACTGGACCATCTGCCTTCACTCTGTCCCCTCCTTTTTCATCTTCCTTAGAGAAACTGAACTTTTCCTCCTGAATCTCAAACCAGAGTCTGTGTCTTCCTTGCTTCCAACCTCCTAATGGCTTCCTGTTGCTCACCATCTTCTGGCTCACGTCACCTCTTGTATATCTCACAATATCCCCTCTTCCCATTTTTGTTGGTGCTCACTCTTCTGTGAGGCATTATCCCTGTAAAGACAGGAACCCTGTCTGTCTTGTAAACTGTGCATCCTGAGCCCTCTCCTAAGCCTGGCACATAGTAGATGTTTAGTAGACAATAAGGATGAACAGACCTTTACATTAGTGCACATGCCTGAGGCTGACCCAGCTGGATTCTGTCCCTGCTTAACCTGACTCATCTTGAGTCTGTCCCCAGGGCAGGTTGTTCCTGGAATCAAAGACTCTCTGATGTTTTTGAGGCAGTCTGACAATGCTGTTGCTAAAGGCTTCCTCTGAGGGCTGGCTCTGAGAGAACAAAGCTGTATTGTCTAGGTCACTGTTCGTGAACTGAGTCTTGGGCCTTGGTTAGCGGTAGCACCAAGAAACATCCACACAAATGATAAACAGACCAGCTGTCCTGGTTGTGGGTGGTGCTGTTGGAAGGTCATGCTCCTAGGAGACCTGGCGTGTTCCCATCTCACTTCCCCAGACTGCAGCACTGTTTGGACCTCCAGGGGGCTGTCTGAAGCCAATGGGAGTGATCAGCCTTGTCCTCAGACTGAAGCCCAGAGCTGCTTAGGAAGGCCTCCTTGCAAGACTGGTAGCCTGAACATCCATCCTGGATCCCTGCAGTCAGATAGTGACTTCTATGAATCAGCAGTTTGGAGGCACTTCCTGGTCATTGTTGGTACCAGGTCACAATTCCAAGAACCTTATTGGTGCTGCTTGCAGTGCAGGAGACGGTGACTGGTTTAGCCACAGAGAGACAGTGCAGGCTACCAAATGAGCCCTGATTGCCCAGTACTGTGAGAGTCAGGAGAGAGACACAGGATGAGGGAGATGGCTCAGTGAGCCAGGGGAGCAAAGCAGAGCCCTGGTCCTCCCAGTGCTAGTCCCTGACTCCCTGTCTCCAGCCACCTGTGCAGCGACTGAGGTGGGTGAGGAGGAGGGAGTGCAGGCCATGGTGGAGATGTCTCTAGATCTCTGCTTCCTCAGCCACACAGATTAGGGGGAACAACGCCTCTTCCCTGGCCTGTCTTGGAGGAGGAGACTTAATGCGAATCTATCCTGACCCCTGGCTGTGCCCCTCACATAAGATGCTGAGTCTGGTTATTCTTTTTGAGGAGTAGGTGGTTGGAAGTTGGGAGAGTGTTTTCCCATCACTGTCCAGGAAACCTGAAAGGACACAGCTGCTGAACCCAGTGAACAGTAAAGGGAAACAAGGAGACCAGTGTCTGGTTTCCAAGCTGAGGTCAGCCCTGAACTCACTTCCCAGGCTGCCAGAAATCCATGGGTCTCTCTTCCTATTTGATTCCTCACTGGATCAGCACATGAGGGAAAGTGCTGGAGCTTGGGAAGAATCAGCCTATTTGTGTGGTTCACTGGCTTCACTGCAAATGCAGAAAACCCCAGGAATCAGGAGAGAGTGCTGGCTGAGGTAAAAAAATCAAATAAAAATAAATATATAAAAGAATTAGCCAACTTTGAGCTTCTTCAGAACTAAGGGTATCAGAGAGTTTGAGAACTGTTCTTCTAATACAGGCATGAAGACATAGTATGTAGTTTGGTATATAAATTGTTCCTCATACCTGAATCTCTTATGCTCCAACTAACATGAACAGGAAAGTTTTGTTTCTCTATTTTGTGCATTGGGAAGTCAGAAATAATGTACTGAAGACATTGCATTGAGAAGCACACACATTTTCTCTGACCTCACAAAATCCACAGAAATGACCCGGAGTGTTTTCCTAATAATATCATCTAATGTCATTGTCTGACTAGCAAACAAATGGAATGACTTAAAAGCTAGAATACTTCACTGGCACTCAGTTCAAAATACAATGATCAACTATTACAATATTTTATCCTTTTCAACACATGGAACACTACCTCCATTAACTTTAAATGACAACCGTGTCAAGGTGCATCAAACCAGAGGAATGAGCACAAGGTTTAATCACCATAGTGCAAATAATAAAAACGGAAATTAAAAAATGCATCCAAATGAAGAAAATTCCTTATTCTGATTGCTTGCGATAAGGTAGCTTAGCAGAGAACTTGGTGATTTTTTTTTTTTTTTTTTTTTTTTTTTTTTGGAGACAGAGTCTTGCTCTGTCGCCCAGGCTGGAGTGCAGTGGCCAGATACTTTTTGATTTTATATAGTAGTCATGTATTACTTTGAAAGTAACTCAGTAAAATAAATTTGAATAATATATACATAGAGAGTTTATTCTCTTTGCTCTTAGCTCAGAAAGCCCATCATTTGAAGAAGCTTCTTTCTGGAGGAAATGTATTTAGACTCAGCCTTTAGATCTGAACATGCTCTTTCTGTTTTCTTGTTTTTAATATAAAACAATTAATTTTTTCTTGTTCTAATTCAATTACAGCAAATCCCTCTCACATTTCCTCCACTTCAAGGCACAAGCAGAGATAGAAATCAACTCAGACCCTTTCCTTCGCCTTTCTATGGCTGCTCCCCATGTAGGCTGTCTTGGGAACCGGCGTGTCTGATCATGTGATCTCCACATCACAACAGCCTAGGGAGGTTTATGTCTTGGTTCCTCTTATGAGTCTGTCACTGTGCTGAGCACCACTATAGTGCAGCCAGCAGTAATACTCAGCCTCGTCCTCAGGCTGCACACCTGACAGTGTCAGGGCAGCTTTGCCCCCAAGGAGGGAGCCTGAGAACCGGGCAGGAGTCCAGGAGTGTTTGTAGTTTGTATTATAAATCAGTGTCCTGGGGGCTTGGCCAGGCTTCTGCTGGAACCAGTGAAAATAGTGACCACTGGTGACTGCTCCAGTGCTGGAAGCACAGGTGAGAGTGACTGTCCCTCCTGGGGACACAGTCAGTGAGGGCTCCTGAGTCACTACAGCCTGAGAATTGGACCCTGAAACAGAAAAACAGACATATGTTAGGAATTAGAAGGGGAGACACAAGGATCCCTCCAAAGGCTGGTATTTGAAATCTCTCTTAACCTGGGCAGCAAGTGAGGAGGAACTGGAGGAGGAGCAGAGTCCAGGCCATGGTGCTGATATTGGAAGGGATCTCTGGCTCCAGAGCTGGGGCTGGATTCTGATGGCTCTTTATCTCCTACTGAGCTCTCCACAGGGAGGGGGTGTGTTGTGTGCTGCTGTATGCAAATCTTTACTGTCTTTATCACCACCTAGGTCCACAGCCCTGAGAGCAACTACACTGTGAGGCGCCAGCCCAGGGTGGCTGTGTGCTGTGGATTTGCCCTGTGGGAGGAAGCAACTGCTTTAACATTTACACGAGTCAGTGAGCAGGATTCATTATGTTTGACCCTCTTGAGCTTCTTATAATCCAAGAGACCCAGACCGCCCCCTGGTGGCTTTTCTGGACTGAGTATGCATTGTCTTTCCCTTGTATAACAAATAACTATTGATTTATCTATGGACATTGCCACAATATTTTCCAGGCCAATTCACACCCATTAATTGTCTATTGTTGCTCATTCCTGTTTGTACTACTTTCTCTTGCTGTTGCTGAAATCTTGCCCCTGTGACTATGATTGGATTTTGGTGTTACATGGTGTTCATTTTTATTTGAATGAGTAAATTAATTGTTTTAATGACCTACTGGCTTTATGTAACTATTTGTGTTGAGCCTTATATTATAAACAGCTCGTTTAAGTGAGAATTTTTAAAATAATTTACTATAGAGAAATTTTTTTTCTAATGACAAAGCCTGAAGGTTAAAATTTTATTGTCAATTCCAATTGAGTGGAAACTCAAGTAAGCCATGAGGATAATCAACTGGGTCTATATAACGATCCCACTTTCACCCACCCCATTGCTCAAAATCCTCTGGAAACCAAGCCTGGGTGAACTTTCCTGGTTGGCGATGCTTCCTACATAGAATCACACACTGTTGCCAGCAGAATGCAGCATTGTCTGCTACTCCACTGGGAGAGGACAACTGGATGCTTGTGCTTGGAATTCTCCTGAACTCTGCTCATGTGCCTCTTCCCTTGAATTATTTTAATCTGTATTATTTTGTGGTAGAAAAATTATATTAATGAATGTCACAGTTTTCAGTGAGTTATGTGAGTCCTGCCAAGGAATCATAGGAAGTGAAGGATTGTTGGGGAGCCCTGACTGGAAAATTAGCTTCAGAATTGAGAGTGCTCTTGTGAAGCCCCAGATCTCCTAGGTTCCAAACTCACGATATCCTTTTTCTTTTTTAAATTCAATACAAGTTTTATTTGGAAAGAGTTTCTCATTTTGTAAAAGCTGCAGGGAAGCTTCTTTCACATTCACACTTGCAGAGATCTAGTAGTTTCAGAGATCTCAGTGTTGAAAGGTACATTTTCAAATCAATAACAAAACCAAGTACGTGCCAAAAGAAATCACTTTTAGATTGCTTTGGAAAGGACAGCCATCAATTCCAGGTATTCTTAGAAATGGGCTCACCACTTACTTGGAAAACAGAAAGCATGGAATCAGCACCCACAGAAGGAAGTGTCTTTGAATATGTTAGTTATTTGGACAGGATTATTCACTCCTTAGAAAGTACAGTAAGATAAAAAGTCCCAACTGGCAAAGTGTGCAGCACGCCACCAGTTTTACAGAGGGATTACAAGATCCTGGGATCAGTAGCTATCAGCTTATGACACAGAAAATAAGAGCAGTCACTGGAAGTGGAAGAAGAATGATGATGAGCAGGAAGTCTCTCACAGTCTTATTCAGCCTTTTAACTTGCCAAATGAATCGGCTATGTTCTGTAGAATCTTTGAGAAATCATTTGAGACCGTTCAAAAACGACAACAAAAGCCATTCAGTATTATTCCCCAGAACGTCCATATTTGAAATGAAAGAGATACCTGTTCAGGGTGCTGTAGGCTTTTCTTTGTGAGGTCTATGGATAAGGACATGTGAAGCATCCTGCTGTGACCCTGTATCATCTGCTCACTGCTTCCTGGGCTCAGCAGCTATGTCCTCATGGGGAACCAGGTTCAGCCAACCTGGCCTTCTCCACCCCACCTGGGAAATGTATTCCGGTGACTGTCTGGACAGAGGTTCTATGAAGGGACTGGGAGATAAGAAGAGGAAGTTGATTTGAATGAATAAACCATTACACACCATTTCCTTTCATCTGAAACCCAAGGAGCACCCTTGCATCTTGTTTTGAAAGACATATGGGTACCCTCATTCAGAATCCTGGCTCTCACAATGTTTGGGGAGGTCCTGAGTCTGCATATTTGAAGAATAATAGAAAGAAGAATTAGAAAAGTGAGAAGGCATTATTGATTGGGCATCATATACCGTGTATTTAGTGCTAACTGAGGTGCTCACTTGAGGGTAGCTGTGTTAGAGAAGCCCTGTCTTTGAGGTTCAGCTCATAGACCTGGCATCAGGAAGAGGAGACCAGCTCTAACTCCGCCTCTTCCAGCCTTTGAACCGTGTGTGCCGTTTGCAGATGAACTACAGGGTACACAGGTAAGTTTGTGTCTCAAATGAACAATATTGTGTGAGAGTTACACATACTAATTCTTTGTCATTATTTTACTGAATTCAAACTTAACTGACCTTCGGTGTTATTATTTGATAAATTGGAGAAACCTGCATCCAGGTCACAAGCACTCCTTCTCTAATCATGGCCTACTGAATGAAAAGCAATCATAAAGCTCTTGTCATGATTAAATGAGGTCACACTCTTAGGAATTCAAAAGCCGTTGGCCAGTAGTAAGGTTGCTAAATCTTGATACAACCTATCGAAACCTCTGGGATACAGCAAAAGCAGTGCTATGAGGAATGTTTGGAGTTAAATATGTACATCACAAAGTCTGAAAGAGCACAAATAGACAATCTAAGGTTACACCTCATGGAAATGGAGAATCAAGAACAATGCAAACCCAAACCCAGCAGAAAAAAGGAAATAACAATATCAGACCAGAACTAAATAAAATTGAAACAAAAATGATACAAAAGATAAATGAAACAAAAACCAATTCTTAGCAAAAAGAAATAAAATTAATAAACCATTAGTGAGATTAACCAAGAAAAGAAGAGAAAAGATCCACATAAGCTGGATCTTAGGGTGTATCACCTCATCTGAGGTCAGGAGTTCGAGACCAGCCTGACCAACATGGTGAAACCCCATCTATACTAAATACAAAAAATTAGCAGGGTGTGATGGTGCACACCTGTAATCCCAGTTACTCGGGAGGCTGAGGCAGGAGAATTGCTTGAAACCAGAGATGGAGTTTGCAGTGAGCCATGATTCTGCCATTGTACTTTAGCCTGGACAAGAGTGAAACTTCATAAAAGAAAGAGAGAGAGAGAAAAAAACCCCACAATATTGCATCCCTGGAGAGATTGCAGAGATTAGTGATACCATCAAGGACTTGAAAAATGCAAGGGTGGTGATTCCCGCAGCATCCCCTTTCAACTCTCCCATTTGACCTGTGCAGAAGACAGATGGATCTTGGAGAATTATAGTGGATTATTGGAAGCTGAACCAAGTGGTGACTCCAATTGCAGCTACTGTACCACATGTGGTTTCCTTGCTTCAGCAATTTAATGCATCTCCTGGCACCTCATATGCAGCCATTGACTTGGAAAATGTCGTTTTCTCCATTCCAGTCCACATGGCCCACCAGAAGCAATTTGCATTCAGCAGGCAAGGCCAGCAATATACCTTTACTGTCCTACCTCAGGGGTAGATGAGCTCTCCAGCTGTGTGTCAAAATCTTATTCAAAGAGACTTTGATTGCTTGTCTCTTTTGCAAGATACGTCTCTTTTGCAAGATATAGGCCCATTAAATTGATGACATTGTGCTGGTTGCATCCAGTGAGCAAGAAGTAGCAAACACAGTGGACTTGTTGGTGAGACATTTGCATGCAAGAGGATGGGCGGTACATCTGACTAAAATTCAAGGACCTTCTGCCTCGGTAAAATTTCTAGGTGTCGAGTGGTGTGGGGCCTGTTGAGACATTCCTTCTAAGGTGAAGGATAAGTCGCAGCATTTAGCCGCTTCTACAACCAAGAAAGGCACAATGCCTATTTGGATTTTGGAGGCAACACATTTGTCATTTGGGTGTGTTACTCCAGTCCCTTTATCAAGTGACCCAAAAGGCTGCCAGTTTTGAATGGGATTCAGAACAGGAGAAGGCTCTGCAACAGGTCCAGGACATTGGACCCAACAGATCCAATGGTATTCCAGGTGTCAGCGGCAGATAGCAAAGCTACTTGGAGCCTTGGTCAGGCCGCCATAAGTGAATCACAGTGGAGGCCTCTAGGATTGTGGAGCAAGGCCCTGCCATCTTCTGCAGATAACTACCCTCCTTTTGAGAGACAGCTCTTGGCCTAATACTGGGTTTTGGTGGAAACTGAACATTTGACTATGCGACTTAAAGTCACTATGCAACCTGAACTGCCTGTCATGAACTGGATGCTTTCTAACCCATTTAGCCATAAAGTGGATCATGCACAGCAGCACTCCATCATTAAATGGAAGTGGTATATACATGATCGGGCTCGAGCAGGTCCTGAAGGCACAAGTAAGTTACGTGGCGAAATGGCACAAATGTCTGTGGCCTCCACTCCTGCCACCCTGCTTTCTATCCCCCAGCCTGCACTGGAGGTCTCAGAGGGAGTTCACTATGATCAGCTGACAGGGAAAGAGAAGACTAGGACCTGGTTCACAAATGTATCTGCACGATATGCAGGCACCACCCGCAAGTGGACTGCCGCAGCACTGCAGCCCCTTTCCAGGACATCCCTGAAGTACAGTGCTGAAGGGAAATCTTCCCAGTTGGCAGAACTTCAAGGAGTACACCTGGTTGTGCTCTTTGCATGGAAGGAGAAATCTGCAGATGTGTGATTATATACTAATTCATAGGCTGTAGCCAATGATATGGCTGGATGATCAGGCACTTGTTGGAGGCCAAAAGAATGAGGGTCGTGACCAACTCAGTATACCACTGGAGAAAGTGGCAAACTGTCTCTGCCAACAGAAGGAATGCTGAGAGCAGTCACACCCCAAGCACAGTGTTTCTTGTGATTATCTGTGGGTACATCTGAAGCCTGTTGTACAAAGAAAGCAATCACGTAAGCCTGTGATATATCAAGCAGCTGACCAACTGTTACCTCCTCCTCCCTGCTCTTTCTACCTAATAAATATGAAGGGCTGCATAAGCTCAGGATCTTTGCTCATTAGAAGCAAGGAGCCCTCTGACCTCTTCTTTAAAACAGATCATTTTGTCTTTGTCTTCGTTTCTGTGTTCATCCTCCTTTATTCAGTCCCGTAGTAGCCAACACAAGTGGCTTCTGAATGGTGACTTACAGGGACATGAGTGAAGAAGGTCTGCTGGAGCAGAGGAAGTGAAACTGACTAGACAAAGAGAAACCCCAGGACAAGTCTGCTGGCAGCCAATATAAAGTCAGTGCCCTAAGGAGATACTGGGAGCAGGAAGTTTCTGAATCAGCATAGCATGGGGCAGAATTATTTTACATATGTAAAAAAGGTTTTACATATGTAAAAAAGAAGTCATTATACACTTACCATTTGTTAATTTTGGCTTTTGTTGCCTTTGCTTTTGGTGTTTTAGATATGAAGTCCTTGCCCATGCCTATGTCCTGAATGGTATTACTTGGTTTTCTTCTAGGGTTTTGATGGTTTTAGGTCTAACATTTAAGTCTCTAATCCATCTTGAATTAATTTTGGTATAAGGAGTAAGGAAAGGATCCAGTTTCAGCTTTCTACTTATGGCTAGCCAATTTTCCCAGCACCATTTATTAAATAGGGAATCCTTTCCCATTTCTTGTTTCTGTCAGGTTTGTCAAAGATCAGATGGCTGTAGATGTGTGGTATTATTTCTGAGGGCTCTGATCTGTTCCATTGGTCTATATCTCTGTTTTGGTACCAGTATCATACTGTTTTGGTTACTGTAGCCTTGTAGTATAATTTGAAGTCAGGTAGTGTGATGCCTCCAACTTTTTTCTTTTGGCTTGGGATTATCTTGGCAATACAGGTCCTTTTTTGGTTCCATATGAACTTTAAAGCAGTTTTTTCCAATTCTGTGAAGAAAGTCATTGACAGCTTAATGGGGATGGCTTTGAATCTATAAATTACCTTGGGCAGTATGGCCATTTTCACAATATTGATTCTTCCTATCCATGAACATGATATGTTCTTCCATTTGTTTGTGTCCTCTTTCATTTCACTGAGCAGTGGTTTGTAGTTCTCCTTGAAGAGGTCCTTTACATTTGGTCTTTTCACATAATCCCATATTTCTTGGAGCCTTTGTTCACTTTTTTTTACTCTTTTTTCTCTACACTTCTCTTCTCACTTCATTTCATCCATTTGATCTTCAATCACTGATACTCTTTCTTCTGGTTGATCGAGTTGGTTACTGAACCTTGTACATTTGTCACGTAGTTCTTGTGTCATGGTTTTCATCTCTATCAGTTCTTGTATGGTCTTCTCTGCATTGATTATTCTAGTTATCCATTCATCCATTCTTTTTTCAAGGTTTTTAGTTACTCTGCGCTGGTTACGTAGTTCCTCCTTTAGCTCTGAGAAGTTGAATCAACTGAAGCCTTCTTCTCTCAACTCGTCAAAGTCATTCTCCATCCAGCTTTATTCCATTGCTGGTGATGAGCTGCATTCCTTTGGAGGGGGAAATGCGCTCTGATTTTTTGAATTTCCAGCTTTTCTGCACTGCTTTTTTCCCATCTTTGTGGTTTTATATGCCTTTGGTCTTTGATGATGGTGATGTACTGATGGGGTTTTGGTGTGGGTGTCCTTTCTGTTTGTTAGTTTTCCTTCTAATAGTCAGAACCCTCAGCTGCAGGTCTGTTGGAGTTCCCTTGAGGTCCACTCCAGACCCTGTTTGCGTGGGTATCAACAGCAGAGGCTGCAGAAGATAGAATATTGCTGAACAGCGAGTGTTGCTGTCTGATTCTTGCTCTGGAAGCTTTGTCTCAGAGGTGTACCCAGCTGTGTGAGGTGTGAGGTGTCAGACTGCACCTAGTGGGGGATGTCTTCGACCCACTTGAGCAGGCAGTCTGTCCGTTCTCAGATCTCAACCTCTGTGCTGGGAGAACCACTGCTGTCTTCAAAGCTCAGTTGAAAATGCAGAAATCACCCATCTTCTGTGTCGCTCACACTGGGAGCTGGTGGCTGGAGCTGTTCCTATTTGGCCATGTTGGGCACCCCTGGAACTGGAGACTATTATTCTAAGTGGAGTAACTCAGGAATGGAAAACAAAACATGGTGTGTTCTCACTCATAAGTGGGAGATAAGCTATGAGAATCCAAAGACGTAACCATGATACAATGGACTTTGGGGACCTAGGGAAAAGGATAGGAGGGAGGTGAGGGATAAAAGACTACTCATTGGATAGAGTGTACACTGCTTGGGTGATGAGTGCACCACATCTCAAGAATCACCACTAAAGAACTTACATATGGAACCAAACAACACTTGTTCCACCAAAACCTACTAAAATAAAACAACAAATTTTAAAAATAATTTAAAAAGAGAAATCACTAAAACCCTTAAAAACACAGATAAATAAAGAAGTAAAGAAATAAATTTAAAAAAGATGAGAACCTCTTCTACTATAGAGAACGAAGTGAAGAAGTGAATAAGCAAGAATCCCCACAAGCCATCACAGACTGTCCTGTCACATTAGGTGATCATCACCCATAGAGTCTGATTTTGATGAACAGTAAATTCAAACATTAAAAGAAATACATGAATAAAATCAGAAAAAAATGGCCTAAGGACCCTCAAAGATAGTAATGAGCCCTCTATGGGATGGGTACAATTCAGTGACAACAGGTATTATCTCAAAAGAAGTGTGCAGAGTGAAAGAAGCCTCAACCAATGGGAAGATAATGTTTGATACCACTGATACATTACAGAAAATAGGAATTTTTGGGAACAGTAGTGAAACAGTAGTGACAGAGGCAGATCTGTGGCTGCCCAGGAGGGCACTGGGGGAGGGAAGGACCAGGGATCTTGCCTAGGAGTCTGTACTCAAAGCACTGAATGCCCATCTGCAGCAGATCCTGGCAAATGACTCTGGAGTGTTTCACTTATGAGCAAAAAGTGCAAAGATGCTCAGTCTTTGAAGATGGGAAGAATTAAAACTTCAACTTGGTTTAACCAGCGTCTGTCCTCAGGTGAGCCTGATACGTGGCAGCTCTTCCTATCGAGCCTCCAATCTGGATTTCTAGGGGGAAATTATGGTTCAAATTCAGTAGTGAGTGTGGTGGGGGTGGCTTAAAGATGATAAAAGTTGTTCATCTGTGATCTGTAATGACATCTAGAATCTAATAAACTGAAAACAACAAGCTTAACAAAAAACATAATTCTGTTGATCAAAATGAAAAATGAAACAGGTGATGTCTGTGACTGCATGAGTTCTGGCATGATACACCCTGGACTCTTAATAAATATTTGTTTAGGGAATTTTAAGGGGATACAGAAAAACAGCAGGATGGTTATGTTAATATAAGTTGCAACACAATAAGATTTTAAATGCTCCATTTAAACAATGCAATAGTGAAAACTAATATTGACATTTAAATAAAACCAGTCCATATATGGAACTGGAATAAAATGTATGCTGTGCTTTGGGATCGCATTTCAAGGGTGTTGTTATTTTAAATGTTCCTTTTTGTGTAAGCCATGTTCCTTTACATAATTTTTATAGTTTTAAAAATGTGTTTGTTGTGTTTACATAGCACATCAGGCATATTAAGTTTTATTTATTTCCAAGTAGAAACGAGCTATTAGATCTGGGCTTCGCTTCCTGTTTTCTTCTCATTGCTTTTTCTTTGGTGATGCATAGATGGTCACAGTGAATTTTGTTTTCCTTTCCTCCCACTTTAATGAACAGTGTGTCACCGAGGCTGAGCGGTGTCTCACATGCAGGACAAGGCAGCCCACGGCCCCCTCCCTGCCCACGGATGTGCTTCCTGATGGATGCCCCACCAGCTCTTAGGCTGAACACAGAGAGAAGAACAGGTCCACAGCTAAGGAACCTGGACACTCAGAGGTTCCGGGAGGAAGGGGCAACCACTGGGACAGTGAGCCCTGGACAGAGGACACTGACTATAGATTTTTTTATATGATCCTCCTCAGGAACCCTCAGAGACAGAGACCCCCAGTCCCTGTGTATCTTGATGGCCCAGGTCATTCCAGGTCCTCCTTTTGTCACTGCTCTAGGCTCCAGACCTCCTCCTCCTCCTATGAGTCACAATGGACAGCCTCCTCTTCAGGCTGAACCCTCCTTACCACATCTGACCCCACACCCGTCTCCTCATTTCCCCATAAACCATCCCCTGCTCACTTCCATTAGCATTTTGGCATCATTCTGTTATCACAGCCTCCCCAAGGATGTCTCTGCAGGATATCCCAGGCTCTGAGCATGATGTGAGCTTGAAAAGCCTCATTTTGCTTCTTTCAAGAAAAAAGTCCAGCTCCACAGGTACTGATGTTAGCACACATGGACACGCAGCCAACACTTCAGGGTCATCAGGTGGTTTTCTTTTGTTCTGTTTTTGTTTTACTGAGACATCAGAAAAATGGATGGGAAATTGACAGAAGAGCCTTTAACAACTAGAAAGTACATCCGAATGTCGTTTGTGCCTAGCCCAGTCATTTTACAATTTAAAAATGGTTACAGAGCAAGACCCAGAGCAGGGTGAGATTTTGTCCCACTTCCCCATCTGTGTGTGTCACTGTGAGAAGCGCTGCTGTGCCAAATGGCACAGTAATAGTCAGCCTCATCCTCAGACTGGAGCCCAGAGATGTGTAAAATCCCTGTGTTCACCGAAGCATCTTTGGATCCAGAGAAGCGGTTGGGGACTCCAGAGCCCTGGCCCTTATCTGAGTCTGATTTGTACCACAGAAGATACCGGGGAGGACTCCCTGGCTTCTGCTGGTACCAGTATATGTAGTAGCCAGCAACATTGATGCCACCGCTGAAGGTGCAGGTGAGTCTGGCTGATGCTCCAGGAGATGCTGAGAGGGAGGCCGGCTGAGTCAGCACAGGCTGGGAGAGGGAACCTGCAAACACAGACATTAATGGGTGCTAAGGCAGAAACCAGGGTCAAGTTTTTCAGGGATCTTTGCCAGAAGAGTCACAATCAGGCTTAGGTGCTGGCCCTTGTCCCTGAGGTCTTTTCATACCTGTACAGTGAGAGAGGAGCAGGAGGAGGAGAGGAGTCCAGGCCATGGTGGACACAGCCTCTTTCCCCGCAGTGGGACTGGGCTGCCCCAGGCCTCCTTTTCTTCCCACCCTCTGCAGAGGAGGGGCTGCTCATGCAAACGTGTTTCCACCCAGGGACTGCCCAGCCCCTCCCTGAGCCCTGGGGATGCAGCTCAGCTCACTCTGCAGACTGAGGAGGAGGAAGGTTTGCTTTTCTTCTTGCAAGGCCCTGGGAGGAAGCACCTGTTGAGACCATACACAGGTCCCTGCTCAGGGAACTCTGCCAGGCCAGAGGGGACACAGCGGCCAAGTGCCCATCAGTGAGCACAGGGCCAAGATCCCAGGCCTGGATTTCTTCGATTGAATGGTCCTTACTGAGCAGCCGTGTAGGAACCACAGGGCAGCCACACAATATCTGATGTTGGCACCAGGACACGCACTTTCCCATGGCTCAGAGACGTCAGAACCCCGCTGGTCTCCGCAGCTCTCCAGTCACCATCTGTATTCACATATCCATGGTCTGATTCCTAGACACTGCTTCTCTCATTCTATTCATTATTACTGTGATTTCTCACTCCCAGAAGCAGTCTTGGTCTGTGGGATGTGTAGACCTGTACGTATATAACTTTTAAAGGTGTCAGCACCCCAAAAGGGCATTTTAGGAAAATCTATTTACCCACATGTCCCATCAGAATGGGCATCAGGGAAAATGGGTCAGCTAAGGAGTCAGGTTGAAGGGCAGCTAAGGGCTGTTCAAAAAGACAGTGAATAATGAAAATTTTCCAGGAAAAATAAAGGATCCAAAATATGTTAAAGGCAGCAATTCAGCAAAAGTCATATTTACAACTGTTTAATACATAATAGGTGGTCAATAAACCATAAGGAAAAACAGAGATCTTTATTAGTGCATGTGCCTGAGACAGACTCAGCTGGATTCTGTCCCTGCTTGCCCTGGCCTATCATGACTCTGTTCCCAGGGCAGCCTGTTCCAGAAATCAAGGACTTTCTGATTCTTCTGAGGCAGTCTGACAACGCTGTGGCTAAGGGCTCTCTCTGAAGTCTGGCCCTGAGAAAACAAAGAAACCTTCTCTAGATCACTGTTCCTAATGTGAGCCCTGGTCCCTGGTGAGCAGCAGCACCAGCAAACACGCACACAAATGGTAATCAGCCCTGCTGTCCTGGTTGTATGTGGTGCTGCAGTTAAGTCATGCTCCTAGGAGACCTGACATGTTCCTGTCTCACTCCCCCAGACTGCAGCACAAACAGTGCCTCCAGGGGGCTGTCTGAAGCCAACAGTTGAGATCAGCATTGCCCTCAGCCTGAAGCTCAGAGATGCTTGGGAAGGCCTCCTTGCCAAACTGGTAGCCCGAGCATCCATCCTGGATCCCTGCAGGCAGATATGTGCTTCTATAAACCAGAGGTTTGGAGGCACTTTCCTGTCACTGTTGGTACCAGGACACAATTCCAAGAACCTTTTTGCTGCTGCCTCCAGGAGATGGTGACTGGTTTCATCACAGACAGACTGTGCAGGCTGCCAAGTGAGCCCTGACTGCCCAGGACCCTGAGAGTCAGGAGAGAGACACAGGATGTGGGAGGTGGTTTCATGAGCCAGGGGAGCAAGGCAGAGCCCTGGTCCTCCCAGTGCCAGTCCCTGCCTTTCTGTCCCTAGCCACCTGTGCAGAGACTGAGGAGGGAGAGGAGGAGGGGTCTACTTCATGGCAGAGATGTCTCTAGAGCTCTGCTTCCTGAGCCACACAGATTAGGCAGAACAGCCCCTCTTCTGTGGCATCTTTTAGAGGAAAGGACTGAATGCAAATCTATGCTGCTCTCTGGCTGTGCCCCTCACAAAGGATGCTGAGTCTGGTTGTCCTCCTTGAGGAGAAGTGAGTGGGAGGTAGGAGAGCGTGGTCAGTGGCTCTCAAGGCACCCTGGGAGGACACAGCTGCTGCAGGACCCCGGGACCACTAACCATCAACAGGCAGCAGGTGTCTGGTGTCCCAGCTGAGTCCAGCCGTGAACTCACTTCCCAGGCTGCACAGAAACCCAAGGGTCTCTCTTCCTATTTAATTCCTCGCTAGATCAGCACATGAGACAGAGTGGTGGGCGTTGGTGAGAATTGATTAGCATGTTTGTGTGGTTCACTGGATTCACTGGAAATACCAAGAAGCCCAGGAAGGAGAAGGAGGAGGACCCGGCTGAGGTGAAGAAAGAGAATCAGCCAAAACTTCAGGCTTCTTCAAAACTAAGAGTATCAGAGAAGTTCAGAAAGAGAATAAAAATATGAGTGTCAACTGTCAAGGACAGATCTAGAAAAATGCAGTGAGTTTTCTGTTATAAAACCCTTGATAATTAACTCAGGAAGTCAGAGGGGAGAAGTGGTGGTAGGAACAGGAGACAGACCCAAGAAGGGAATTCAGGAATCAGAGATGCGGAAGGGGGAGCATAAGGATGGGCCACGCTATAGAAAAGAATGGAAGAGAAGCCAGTAAGAATGTTGGGCGGGAGCCAGAGGGGAGGTCAGATTTGTTGTTTGTTTGCTTTGTTTTTGTTTGTAAAGAGAGGGGAGCCTCTCCCAGCTTTGCCGCTGTCCTCCCTGGTCATCTCCCTCCATGGAGTGTGGGTGCTTCTATCACCCAAGATCATTCATTCCCTATGTCAGAGATTTTCCTTAAGCTCCTGTCTGCCAAGGGTTCTCTTTATTTTATACTGTTCTTATGGACTTATTATTATTATTATTATTATTATTATTATTATTACTACTAGCAACAGGATCTCACTCTGCCACCCAGGCTGGAGTGCAGTGTCATGATCATGACTCACTGCAGCTTTTAACTCCTGGGCTAAAGCTCTTCTCCTGCCTCAGCCTCCTTAATATGTAGGACTACAAGCCTGTAGCACAATTCCCACCTAATTCCTTTTTCATATTAAAAAAATACAACCGTAGAGAAAAGATCTTGCTCTGTTGACCTTGGCTGGTCTCAAACTCCTGGCCTCAAGTAATCTTCCTGCCTCAGCCTCCCAAAGTGCTAGGATTACACACGTGAGCCTCTGCTCCTGGCTGGACTTGTTACTATTGAAACATATATGTGGATTTTCTGTGGCAAGCACATTTTGGAAATGCAGAGACTGCATCAGCAATTCATACTCATTCAATCAGAAACTGTATTTTGTAAGATCCCCAGATAATTTGTATGCACAACATAGTTTGAGATGTACTGTTCCTACACATGCATGAAGACATTGAAATAGTTTTGCATATCAATTGTTCCGCGTAACCGAATCTATTATGCTCCAGCAAACATGAGCTGGAAACCCTTGTTTCTCTAGGTTGTGTGTTGTGAAGTCAGGCATAATGTACTCCAGGCTTTCCATTGAAAATTGCAGGAATTTTCCCTAACTGCACTAAATCTATAGAAATAACCAGGCATATTTTAATAATAACACAATATCACATCTTTGTCTGAAAATCTAACAATTGGAATTACCTATATAACTGTATTTTTTTCATTGGTACTCAAATCAAAATAAAATTAATGATGATTTGAGTATTTTATCCTTTTAAAGAATGAAACACTATTTACATTAACCTTAAATGTCAAGAGCAGAAAGATGTGTAAAACTAGAAAAAAAAAGCACAAGGCTTGATCACCTTTGTGGAAATACTGAGAATAAAAATGGAAGAATGCATCCAAATGAAGAAATGTACTTATGTTGACTGAGATGAGATAGTTTTGCAGTGAACTTGGTGGTTTTTAATATTTTTATTTTATATAATAGGCACATATTGTGTGAAAGCAACTCAATAAAACGAACATTGGTAATATACAAAATGAATAGTTTCTTCCCTTTGCTCTTAGCTCAGAAAGCCCATACTTTGAAGGTACTTCTTTCTGGAGGAAATACATTCAGACTCAGCCTTTAGATCGGATTCAGCTGTTAGTGTTCCTTTTGGAATATAAAACAAGTAACTTTCCTTTTTTTTTTTTTCTGGATCCAGTTAGTCACAAATCATTCTTACATTTCCTACACTTCAGGACTTAAGCAGAAATAGAAATCAATTCAAACCTTTTCCTTCGCCTTTCTATGGCTGGGCCACATGTAGGCTGCCTTGAGAGCTGGCATGTCTGATCATGTGATCTCCACATCATGAGGGCCTCGGGAGGTTTATGTCTTGGTTCCTCTTATGAGTCTGTCACTGTGTTAAGCACCACTGTAGTAGAGCCAGCAGTAATACTCAGCCTCGTCCTCCGGCTGCGCACCAGAAAGTGTCAGGGCAGCTTTGCCCCCATGGAGGGAGCCTGAGAACCGGGCAGGGGTCCAGGAGAGCTTGTTGCTTGTATCATAAATCAGTATCTTGGGGGCTTGTCCAGGTTTCTGCTGGAACCAGTTTGGATAGTGACCACTGGTGACTGCTCCAGTACTGGAAGCACAGGTGAGAGTGACTGTCCCTCCTGGGGACACAATCAGTGAGGGCTCCTGAGTCACTACTGCTTGAGAATTGGACCCTGAAACAAAAAAATGGACACAGGTTAGAAATGAGAAAGGGAGAAAAAGGGATCCCTCCAAAGGCTGGTATTTGAAATCTCTCTTAACCTGGGCAGCAAGTGAGGAGGAACTGGAGGAGGAGCAGAGTCCAGGCCATGGTGCTGATATTGGAAGGGATCTCTGGCTCCAGAGCTGGGGCTGGATTCTGATGGCTCTTTATCTCCTATTGAGCTCTCCACAGGGAGGGGGTGTGTTGTGTGCTACTTTATGCAAATCTTACTGCCTTTACCACCACCTAGGTCCACAGCCCTGAGAGCAGCTACCCTGTAAGTGGCCAGCCCAGGGTGGTTGTGTGCTGTGGATTTGCCCTGTGGGAGGAAGCAGCTGCTCTAACGTTTACATGAGTCAGTGAGCAACTGTGCAGGGTTCATTCAGTTTGAACTTCTTAAAATCTTGAGTTTCTTAAAATCCAAGAGACCGAGACTGCCCCCTGGTGGCTTTCCTGGACTGAGAATGCCTGGTCTTTCACTTGTTTAACAAATAACTATTGATTTATCTTTTGACATTGCCACAATATTTTCTAGACCAATTCACACCCGTTACTTGTCTATTCTTTGCTCATTCCTATTTGTTCTACTTTCTGTTGCTGTTGCTGAAATCCTGCCCCTGTGGCTATAATTTGATTTTAGTGCTACGTGGTGTTAATTGTTATGTGAATGGTTTGAATGACTAAATAATTGTTTTAATGACATACTGACTCTGTGAAACTATTTGTGTGGAGCCTCATTGGATAAAAATCTCATTTAAGTGAGAATTTTTAAAATAATTTACTTTACAGAATTTTTAAAAAGAAAATGACCAAAGGTTGAAAGTTGAAGTATCGTTGTCAATTCAGTGGAAAGCGAAGTGAGCCATGAGGATAATTATCGAGGTCTACCTAACAACCCCACTCTCACTCACCCCGCCACTCACAAATTTTCTGGACACCAAGCCTGGGTGAGCGTTCCTGGTTGGCAATGCTTCCTACATAGTATCACACGTTGTTGCCAGCAGAATGCAGCATCGTCTGTTACTCCACTGGGAGAGGACAACTGGATGCTTGTGTTTGGAATTCTACTGAATTCTGCTCATGTGCCCCTTCCCTTGAATTATTTTAATCTGTATTATTTTGCTGTAGAAAAATAATATTAATGAATGGGACAGTTTTCAGTCAGTTATGTGAGTCCTTTCAGGGACTTGTAAGGAGTGAACGGCTGTTAGGGGTCCCTGAGCTGAAAATTAGCTTCAGAATTGAGAGTGCTCTTGGGAATCTTCAGACCTCCCAGGTTCCAATCTCACATTTTCTTTTTTTAACTTCAAA